CAGCCACCGGAGGCCAAGCGCTCACCTCGCACCCACTTGCAGAAATCCGCTTCCACTCTTCACCAGAATATTCCAAACGGCTCATTGAGCAATTCCCTAACGTCATTTGGGGCTGGACAACTCCCACCTACCAGTAACGTCGGCTTAGAAGCAATGGCTGCTGCTGCTGCGGTGGCAGGTGGTGCTGGTGGTGCTGCTGGTGGTAGTGGTGGTGGAAGTGTATCAGCATCGACGGGCACTTCTAGTCATCAGTACTTCAGTCCAGTGAGTAATCAAGTCTGGGTGTGTGTGTGTGTCTGTGTGTCTGTGTGTGTCTGTGTGTCTGTGAAAAAATGAAAAATAGGGATTCACTGGCCAGAAAAAGCCACTTTAATCAGCTGTGTGGTGGATACCTGGCTAGAAAATAGTGGCGGTCAATTCATCAGCCTTGCAAGCTGTTGAATGGTGTAATCCCAGCACAAGTTGCTATGTCTAACATAGCTGTTCGCTATCATCGCTTCCGCGATGGGCATGTCTGAGGTCTGAGGTGTGTGTGTGTGTGTGTGTGTGTGTGTGTGTGTGTGTGTGTGTGTGTGTGTGTGTGTGTGTGTGTGTGTGTGTGTGTGTGTGTGTGTGTGTGTGTGTGTGTGTGTGTGTGTGTGTGTGTGTGTGTGTGTGTGTGTGTGTGTGTGTGTGTGTGTGTGTGTGTGTGTGTGTGTGTGTGTGTGTGTGTGTGTGTGTGTGTGTGTGTGTGTGTGTGTGTGTGTGTGTGTGTGTGTGTGTGTGTGTGTGTGTGTGTGTGTGTGTGTGTGTGTGTATGTGTGTGTGTGTGTGTGTGTGTGTGTGCATGCATGTGTGTGTGTGTGTGTGTGTTTGTGTATTTCCTTCCTCTGTTTGTGAGTCCCTTTCCATCAATATGGCAGCTTGTTTTGATTTCCTTTTTTTCAATTCATTTTGCTGTACTTTCTGTTTTGTTTGCGCCACTGCCCCTCACCTTGCGCTCAGTTCTCTGAGTGGAGGGCGGCGTGACCCCAAGGGGTAGCTGATTGATAGTAGTAGTAGTAGTAGTAGTAGTAGTAGTAGTAGTAGTAGTAGTAGTAGTAGTAGTAGTAGTAGTAGTAGTAGTAGTAGTAGTAGTAGTAGTAGTAGTGTGTGTGCGTGTGCGTGTGCGTGTGCCCCCCCCCCCCCATGTGTGTGTGTGTGTGTGTGTGTGTGTGTGTGTGTGTGTGTGTGTGTGTGTGTGTGTGTGTGTGTGTGTGTGTGTGTGTGTGTGTGTCTGTGTGTGTGTGTGTGTGTGTAGGTGTGTGTGTATACATGTGTGTGTGTGTGTGTGTGTGTGTAGGTGTGTGTGTGTATACATGTGTGTGTGTGTGTATGTGTGTGTGTGTGTGTGTGTGTGTGTGTGTGCGTGTGCGCATGTGTGTAATAATAATAATAATAATTAAAATTAAATCTGACGAAGTCTGAAGAAAATGTTGAACAGTCTCTGCTGGGATGACGACTACACCATAGCTCAGTGGTTAGAGCATCGCTGGCTACAAGCGAGGGTCCCTGGTTCGAGTCCTGGTGGTGACAGTCAATTTTTTCTTCAGACTTTTCCCGTTTGTCTCTTTCCCTCAAACCAGTTAAAATTAAATAATAATAATAAAAATGCTGTAGACAGCAAGCTGTTTCGTCCATAAAGGCCTCATGTATATAATTATGTTGGACTCTGTGACCAGTCAAGGCCGTATGAGCAGTCAAAGGCCGTATGAGCAGTCATATGCCTTTCTGAGTAGCTGACACTGTCTGTCCAGCCTACATCACTCAACACCACGCCGGTATAGTGTAGGAGAAAATCGACTGTTAAATGCAGAAAATTTCGTCGGTCAATAATTTCGTCCAACTCCAAAGAAAGAGAGTTCGTCCGGTTGTAAATTTCGTCCATGGATCATAAGAGTGTATTGAAAAGCTGGGCAGCATGCAGAAGCATGTTCGAGTCCGCCACTCGAGTTCCTTTCGAGCCTGAGAAGTAAACATTTTGCCGTGGTTGTTGCTTTGAGTACATAACTCTTGATTGTAGTAGCTTCTCCTCTTTGCTGAAGGTCACCTGGACCGAACAGAGACTCCGAGAGTTGCTGCCGTTTCTCGTGGCCGTTGAGGATGACACGGAGCGACGAATGCTTCATCCGGTTCGGGCTATTGGCGACCGGATCACTTTGGCTGATCTCGATGAAGAGCCTGTTATCAGCCGATTTCGCTCTAGCAAGGCACTGCTAGAAAAGTAAAATTTGTTTGTGGCTACCTCCTTGGCTAGGTCACAACTGCGCCGTGAACAACTGCTCCGTGTACTGGAGCGCTGTGCAGGAGGTTATCCCTCCATCAGATACTGCAGCTCTGTGCAAGACCATTGCTCATGTACATAACGCGTGCGAGCTGGACTCCAATCTAATTTTCTGTTTGAGGGCCTTTTACTGTCGAACAAAGCCCTAGTTTCGACTTGTTGAGTGCCTTTCTTGACGATTCTCGAATTTCACTCGAC